TTAAGTGTAATTTTCTAATATAATAAAAAACAACCTGTGGAAAAGTTAAGTAACTTGTGTTTCACTGCCACCTTAACTATATCCTTTTGTAGGTGTAGGAACTTATGAACCTGAACAAAAGTGAGAGTAATTAAGAATCTAAATCTGTTGTATTAGCCTGATTAGTGACATTTTAACCAGACATATATTAAAAAAACCTGCATGAAGGTATTAGCAACACTAAATGGAACAATAAAAAGAATACCCTTATTGCTTATGTGGTCTATGTGTTTGTTTACAGAAAAGGGCTTTTGCTTTTGTAACAGGTCTTACTGTATATAATGCATAAAAATTTAACGTTACCTGAAAGTAAAATGTGTTATTAATCAAAACATTTCATCTTCATTAGTTTTAAAATCAAAGTTTACCATTTTATCACCTTATGACATTTGATCCAGAGATGCCTGAAAAAAATATGTATAAGAAGGTAAAGAAACTTTAAAATTGGATTTAAAGAGAGACCCGGAGCAGAAATTAGGGGCTATCTGGTGATGGGGGATTTAACGGAGGGAAAAAGAAAGGGCGGAGACTAAAACGGAAAGCCCTAGAAGATTTTTGTTCCCAAATTGGGATCTGGAAACATTATAAATAATAAAAGAACTCGGGGGGAAATTCCTTTCTTTCTTTTTCTACCTTTTTCTATTTTTTGNGGAGGAGGCCTAGTCTGTGGGATCTAATAGGTCTTTGGGAGGTAATTGGCAGGAGGCGGTCTCTCAAGTACCCAGGTCCGATACCATGTAGGACTTTATAAGTAACGACGTACAACAGTACAGTGCAGTACAACAGAAGCTGCAAGTTTGTAGCTGTATTTTACAAACAAACATTCATTTAGCACCCTTTAGAAATTACAGAAGCACTGAAAAAAGTACTTTTTTTCGCACCGGTTCTCACCCTTATTACTCATGCAGCCTCCTCACAGTCATATGATCAAAATTCAGGTGCTTGGCAACTGGCATATATTTAGGACAGATGCAGTGTCCCAGGGTCATGTGATTGCCATTTGTGACTTTCCCAATCACCTTCCAACAAGCAAAGATTTATCAATAAGGGAAGCCGGATTTATTGATGACCATGGGATTCACATAACAACTGCAGTGATTCACTTAAAAACCGTGGCCACAAAGTTTGCAACATTGAGCACAACTCATTCAACCCTTTGGGTCCCCTTTGGGGAAAAGGGCGGCATATAAATGCAATAAATTCAAATTCAATTCAATTCAACCACTGCCTTACTTAGCAATGGAAATTCTGGCCCGGTTATGGTTGGAAGCTGAGGACTTCCTATATATCTCAGCTGTAGAATCTTAAGCTTATATTTACCAAACAAAGGAACTGCCACTTTCGAAGCCCATGAATTATCCCATTTCATCTAATCTGCTACTAATGCCAGCAACATCATTATAAAAATAAAGCGAATGGTAAAATACAATATAACCTACGATATTATAAAAAAAAAAAAAGGCAAGCATTCAAAAGGACATAGCACTTCCTAGAAGAAAGGATGTTGTTCTGTTGAAACCTGCTTTGTTTTTATATGAATATCTTGTTGCCACCCACTGACTTTTTCTTCAGCATGCCAATAATCTTCATTTACTCACTTAGAGAGCAGAGCATGTTTTTTCTGCAAAAAAAATCTACTACTATCATATACAATTATTTTCTTTCTCCCGGCTCCTTGCCTTTTATGCCAGTACATTGGAGTACTGCACAATACAAAACTGCTTTTCCATTGGATCATGCTCCTTGTCCTAAATTATACAACAAACAACCCGACATTATTTTATTAACGGTGAAATAATTATTCTTTTGCAGAACTGAAAGCACATCGCTGTCAATTTTCCTACAGAGCTTTAAGCTAGGGGAGGCTGATATTTTAGCACCTTAACATCTAGCTAATTAGCACCATCCTGTCTTTTTTATACAATCCCAGGGAAAAGATAAAAGGCACTTGGCCAGATTTCCATCACAATGTTTCTCTCTATTGATTTCTGACACCTACCATCATGAAGGGTGGCAAGTATTACACTGTTTTGCATTTTCTTTCAAGTAAATCTGGAAGTCTGGTAACTCTTGGCTTTTGCCTCTAGGTGATCCTTTCTTAGGAATAGAGGAAACTCCCTGCCAAGGCTACAGCCTGTAATTATCAAATAAATGCCCTTTCAAGTGGTTCATACAGCTGGCAGGCATGGAAACCAAAATAATGCAGCCTTGAGCTGCAGCCAGATACCTGAAAAGCTGAGATGCAAATAAATGACAGCAACTGTCCATAATCCTTTTGCCAAACAACCTTCAGTCTGTTGATTCCAAGGATGTGTTGTGCTACTATGACCTACATTTCCCATTAAGTTGGGGGGGGGGTGGGCAAGAAAGCAGAGAGAAATGCTACTAATCTCCACCCTGAGGATGAGATTTATGTGTAACCATACTGCTTCCAACTCACTCTAATCCCTCATTTTATTCACAGAATTTGTCCTCTATGAGTGGAATACACTAATTCAGTGTCCAGAGATTGAACCATGTAGCAACTGCTGAACTCAACAATTAAAAGTACCATTGTTTCACAGCACTAAGTATAAATGAAACCATATGCTAGAAAAACATTGAGTAAATCGCTTAAATACATGGGTTGTACAATGTTACTATAAATTTCCCATCCAGCAAACTTTAATAATACCAAACATTTTTTAAGATTTATTGCAACTCAAAATATGCTTTATGTCTAAGAATTGACTCAGGTATTATATCTAGCACAAATTAAGTTTTTAGCCCATGGGAGGAGAGGAAAGACAGCTGTATCAATGGGGACATTTATCACCATTGTAAGATGAAAAAAATATGAAATTTGTTAATATAACATCCATGGTGACTGGTTTAGTCCACATGTAACTGGATGCAGGAGTAATCATAGAGTAGAAGATGTCTTATTTGCTACCTAACATAATTAATTTGCTGAGAAAAAGAAACAACATCTATTCTAGAATTGAGCATAGCAACTGGACTTCTTTTCTTGTTGATTTGAAAAGTTTCACAGATTATCCAAGTTTCTTCCTTAGTCTATTCTAGAATCTCTCTTCTTGATGTACTTGAGATAGTATCCACTTTCAGCAGCCTAAATTTTTTAAATTCCATTATTTGAGATTTGGGTATAAGGCCCAGATTTGTCTTTTAGAAAGGGGGAAGAACAGCGTGAGCAGATTCAAGAGGTAGGGGCATTAGATTAATAACTGCAGTAAGAATATAAATGTGGGCAAGACTTGAATTAAGAGTAAGTAATAACTAAATTAATCAATATAATTATTTTTTCTTCCGCCATAGTAAAAATTACAGTTTGGCAGCAACTAATGTATTCACACAATTTGCTTATGCAGATCAGTTCAGGATTTATTTTGCACAGTATAAAAGGCTTGGTCAGCTGTAACTGTAATTATATTCTTTTGAGTTAACATTTTACATGAACCTAATGTATTTGTTATCGTTATGTGTAGTGTATGAATGCAAGTAAGGGGGAAACAACAAGGCTAAATAGGTTGTGTGAAAGCAGTTCTAGGGAGTACCAATTCTGCTCTTCTGCTTTTTGTCAATTCTGCACCATCTCATAAATACAACTGAAAGTCAACCAAGCAATCCACATCAATGTAAATGTTTAAGGAAGAGAAGCATGTAGTCTGGAATGAATTCTGGGCACTTTTATCAAATCCCAACTTCCTTGGCTTGTTTATCCTATTCTAGAGGCTTTGTGAAGGCTCCCAAGTGTCACCCATAATCCCAGAGCAAATCCATGGAATAAACATGCCCTCTCTTCCTGCTTAGCCTTGACCCAATGATTATTTTGGGCCTCTTGCAAAAATTCAAGAAACAGTTTAAAACAGAATAATTTTTAACAGTCTGACTCATAGGCTTAGGTATGCAAAAAAGGATTAAGATTTTTGGACTTTTGAAGCATTGCCCTATCTCAAGTATCTCAAGTTATTAGCACTAAGACATATATTTTCACAAAGAGGTCAGTCCTGTTCTCTATTTGCAAAGGCATGTTGTTTGCACATCTCTCTTGTATACTTATCCCCATTCTGACCTTGTCCACCAATTCAAATTCACACAATATTGTGGATTACACATTTGTAGCTCTTTATAGGACATATGCAAACTTTCATAATTAAGTTTTGTATCAGAGAACTCTTTCTCCTCATATATCATAATGACCTTCTTCCTTTACTCTGTTGGCATATGTGCATTTATTTATATGTTCTTTGTCTGTAAGACAATATTTGATGTTGTTTGGAAATAACAATAAGTTTATCATTTCTAATAGTTTATATATTGATTCTATACATTTATGATTTCATTACTGTTTTGTATCATCTGTTATAAACTAGGTAGTATCAAAAGAGTAGATGGCATATACTTACATAAATAGATACATGAAATAAATAGGCAGTACACAATCTTGCCTCCCCTAATTCATGATATAGTTTCAAATAAATGAATGGGGAAAGGACAGAATGGCGTAACAAAACAAATGCATAAACTTAAAACCAATTCTTTAAATTTTTATTCCTAAGAATCTACTCCGATAATACTGCTTTTTAAATTGAAAATGTTTCTCTTCTTCAGAATGGTGCTTTCTAATTAAACATGTAACATTGCCATTTAAACTTACTAAGATATATATTTTACAATGTGGAGTACTGGAGTATAAGCATGATTCAAATTTAGTTCAAAACAACAATTCCATAAGGCCTCAAGTCATTCATTGTAACATAATCAGGAATGAAACAGTTAAATGATATGTCATCTGCATGAAATTTGTAGTAAGCCATAAAAATCGTTCTTATTGTATTCAGGTTTTATGAACAGCCTATAAGCAGGTAAGTGGAACTTTTCATGCAATGAAGACAACTGAAAAACTGCAGGATAAAAATCCAAGAAAATAACTATCAGGACAAAGTCTTCATTTGTGTTACCTTGAGGAGAAGTGGGTATTTGCAAATCCTCTGTATTGGAGTTAGGAGATAACCTTCAAGTGGAATGTCTGTAGTCTTTCTACCTCCCAAAAGCATGCAACTCTGCAACCAGAAAAGAATAAGAATATTGCATTTCATTCAGAACGTCTCAAGATATTATGGTAATGAATAACATTTTGTAGAGCTAGTTATCTGTAGAGCCTTATACGATGATGAACTAAGAAAATATATAAAAATACCTACTTTCAATGCATAGAGAAAAGGAATATTTTATTTATTAAAAATGTATAGTCTGTGTTTCTTTAATAGGACTCAAGTGTACATATATAACAACGCTCCCTAGCCTTTCTGGCTTTGCGGACTGGCAATGGTTGGCAGGGGGAGGGGAGAAGAGAGAAGAGATGGTTTTGTGCACGCATCCACCCCTTGCATAAATGGATCTTCACATGCTCACATGCCACTTGTACAGAACAGCTCCCAACGGTCCACAGATCAGTACCGGGCTGAAGACCAAAGGTTGGGGACCCCTGATATACAGGTTTCCCAGAAAATCTCCCGATCAAGCACTGCCCATGGATGTGGCTTCATGAGCCTTGGTATTGCAATTCAACACACTTTTCACTAAAAATTCTAAAGTCAACATAGTTCAACACAATAACATCTGGATAGCCATGTGTGTTTTATCCAAATAGCCATTCCATTCACAGATAAAATGAACAGCTAAGCTGGAATGCATATTTTTAGAAATGAAATATTGTAAAATTTGGTTCTTAGGCAACATGATGGCATCTGCGTACAAAAGCATCCATATATTTGCATTTCCAATCAACATAGACTTAGAAGACTTAGAATAATTACATTGTCCCTTTGAAAGTACACTATTTGGCATACATTAAAACGAAATTTCGTTGCATATAGCTCTCAAAGGGTCACCATCTCCAATATACACTTTATAAACATGACAAAATAAATAAATAAATAAATAAATATATAAATAAATAAATAAATAAGTTTGGATGTATACATGTATCTTGTAAAATTCTTGGACATGGTGCCAAGTGCCCCAATGACAATGGGTATCACTGTCACATGCTTCATCCATAGCCGTGTAGTTTCGATGGCCAGGTCGCGATATTTCATTATTTTTTCTCTTTTTATTATTTTTTTTCATTATTATTATTATAAATTATTANGGTGAGATTTGAACCGCTGACCTGCTGATCTAGCAGTAGCCTGCAGTGCTGCATTTAACCACTGCGCCACCTTGTTGACCTTTTGTCAAGGGAGACAAAGAGTGACGGGTTCCAGTATATATCAGAATCATGTCTTTCTAGCCAATCTCTGTCCAAAGCAATTGAAGAGTGCAGGGGAAATATAGTCAAATATAGTTGCAGTGCATCTTTCTGGATATTTATTCTCAGCCCCAAAAGGGGTTGTGTGATGCATGATTGTGTGTGATTTCTTTCTGTCTGCCATTGACTATCTCCAATTGCATAGCAGTTATGTGTGCAAGCCCAGCGGCCATACAATCATCGTATCTATGCAATTAGTAGTCACCCCAAAGGAATAATAGTTGGACTTCCATGCCTATGGGGGCACAAAGGCTAATAGGGATTATAAAAAGCAATTGTCTGGCATTGGAAGTCCAAAGTCCTCTTAGTTCACTGAGAAGTGGGGTGGGGTGCTGAGCTCTTATGAAGTTCCCCAAACTCAGGGTGTTGAGTGGTTTGGCTGTTTACTCCCTGTGTCCTACGTCTATTCAGGTATGCCCCTTTCCAGCTGATTTAGAGCAAGGAAGTTTAGCAATGCAAGCTAATGCCAGGTGACCAAAACATATTCTCAGGTGTCATCTTTTTTTTCTGCTGAATGTAGGGATATTTTCATTGTCTCCTTTTGTATGGATTACATGCCACTGGAGTGTAAGGAGGCAATGGGAGGGGCAGGGGGTGGGGAGGGAGAAGCCCAAAGAAAGCCTGTGAAATCATCTTTGGCTATTTCCCTTGTCCCTCAACTTCTCTAGCCTGCCATTAATCATCATGCAATGTTGAATGACTACCTCTCAAGGTTTTCGATGAGCCCTGTCATGCTAATTCATCCCCCGGTTCATCAGAGAAGCCTTCCTAAAACTGGTCGATCAGGGCAAAATCAATCAGGTACATATACCTGACCTACAACTGAGAATCTGATGAATACTCATGTTTTCCTCCTGATCAGCAGGCACTTTCCTGGTGGAATTGTCAAAGACAGCTCTGAACTTTTATATAGAATTGTGATAGCTATGTAGCAAAGTGTCATGGCATCTGCTTGCTCATTTCAAAACTAAGAATGAACACCGCCTTAGTCCATCCTGTCCCACCGTGAACACCGAATATTGAAAGTTAGGGAACAGGTTCTGCATTCTCCACTCCTGAAATGTGCTGTGCAGCTCATGGTCGAGATAAATCCTGCCCCAAATGCTGAGTTAACCACACCATGAGTTTGACGTCAGGATTTAAGAAGGAAAACAACTCACTGAGTACATCCAAACATATAAGGAGGAAAAGAGTAAGCTGTAAAGGTGAGGACTAAGCCAAGAGGGTTCTCAGGCCAGAGTCCTAGTTATATAAACACTCAACAAATCCTCAGATTTAAGCAGCAAGAAAAATAATCCGTGAATTCATGGGAAGAGTGGAAAGGAAAAGCTATGCATTTGAATTACTGCAATTGTAAAAGGTTCATCCTAATAATGGACAATCAACACTTTTGTTTAGCTCCCTTCTTCCTTGCAATTTATATTTGTGTTTAGTTGAGTTGTGATCCTAAGACTGCTGTTAAGTCCTAGTGCACGCATCCAGTTTTGTGGTGTACAGTCTGAAGGTCCCTGATTTATCACCAGTTCCTGATCAGGACACCTTGAGCTCTTTCAATGCCAGCATTTTTGAAACATTAGGAACTGTCAGCAGAAGAGGTTCCTCACTTCTGTCGCAAGGCATGGCAATTGAGAGAAGCTATTAAAAATAGGCATATGGAGTAATATTATCCTATAAGAAGCTTGTTCTCAATGGGTTAAGGCAGGAGGGTCAAACCCGTGGCCCATGGGATGGATGCGTTATGTGCTGGCCCTGCCTCCATCCGGTTTAGCAAAGTGGGGATACGTTGAGTTGAGTTGAGTTTATTTGATTCCTATGCCACCCAATCCCGAAGGACTCCGGGCGGCTTACAGAATAAAAAGAATTAAAAAGAAAAAGACTTAAAAACAATAGGACACACGAAGTTAAAAGAAAGGCAACAAACACCCAATCAGAAGGCCTGCCGGAAAAGCCAGGTTTTAATGGCTTTGCGNGGGGGATTATATGGAGTATGGGAGATATATAGTCAAAATAACATTCCTTTCTCAGAGAGTCAAGGACATCTTGCCCTGCACCTGGAGGGGTATGATTGGGATGGTGCCTGATTGGTCATGTGATGGACATGTGGGTGCTGGGCAGGGACATGGACTTTCATTTGGGTGGAGAAAATCTGGAAGCTTTCAGATTCGGGTTTTCCCAGATGTGCCAATGTGACATATCTAATAAAATGGAACTTTGAGGAACTTCATGCCTCAGAGCCTTCTTTCATTGGGGGTGTTACTTGGAACCCTGATAGCTGTCCTATTCCACTATCCTATTGTCCATCTTTTTTTATCCTACAAATATTCATCCTTTCACAAAAAGAAAGAAAATGTTTTTTGTAGTTGTTTCTGTACTTCTCGGGGTTGCAAAACTCCTCTGCCAACTGATCTGATTCTAATGCAATAGCAGTTTTGCTTCAGTGCCCCTTGACAATGGAGCCAATTCCTCTCCCGTGGACAGACAAAACACCCATCAGAGTTATTTGAGAGGCAAACTTGAAGTGGCTGTTCACTATTAGTTAAAAATAACTATATATTGGAGCATTCTTCACTGACAAGCCACCAGTAATGATGTTGCCTGAACACAAAGGACCTCATCTCATTGCTGATGTGGAACTGAAGCTTTTTGGAAAATCTCTCCAATGGCCTATTGCATCTGTAGCTGGCTTTCTGTAGTCATTGTGATTTAAAAGTCACTGCTAAACTTAGCCTTGGTAAATGTCCCTAATCCACTTTTAAAGCCATCTGAACATATATAAAACTAACAACTATCCCTACTACTTGTGAGACAGAGTCCACAGATGCTTTGTGTATCATGCCCTGGAGAAGGACAGAATGAACAGCTGCATGTAATGAATAAGTACCATTTCAAGAAAAAGCTAGCTAGGGAAAGCTTTATTGATTAGAAGGGCCAGTTAGTTAAAAGAGAGGGAAAGAGAATGGGAAAGTACAAAGACAATAGTTTTATAAGTTGGTAAATTCTTCTTCCTATGCTGAAAAGTTTGAAGTTACCAAAGGTATCTTGAAACGGCCTTTCAAGATTCACTACTCACTTGGAAAATCTTAAGAGTTCATTTTGGATTAGCTCTCAGTGTAATAGAATTAATTGTTACAAACCAAAATGGAAATTATTATCAGCCATTGTCTTTACCTCTTTTCCTTGTCTAAAATAAACTGACTTGAAACTCTCTTGAAAACCAGAATGTAAAAACTTTTTTTATAAAAAGTTTTATTTTTATTTTTATTCTGTTATATAGTTACAGGTATACATTCACATAGTTATTGTTCTTAATTTTCTTTATCACTTTTACATGTTTATTTTTCCATATAAGAAGTTAAAATATACATCCTGGGTTGCTTTTTTTACCCATATCACTTTGTATTGTCACCATCCTGTTTTTCTTTTCTTTTCACCCTCCCTCCCTTCTCTACTTTTTTCCTTCCCCTTCTCCTTTTCCTTTTCCTACTTCCCTTACCTCTCCCCTACTCCTCTCTTCCTCTTCCCCTCTTCTCCTCTCTCCTTCTCTTTCTATCCCTTCCCTCCTTCCTCTCCTTTCCTCTTCCTTCCTTCTCTCCCCTTTCCCCTTTGAAGAAAAGGGAATAGGGAAGGATAAGTACAAAATTATAACAGGGTTTGCGGGAATACCATCCTGAAAATACACCAGTTGAAAAGAGATAAACAGTACAACAGAAAAGGAAAGTTGAAAAGGATAAGTGGGGGGGAGGGGTTTAGCAACATTTACCGTATTCAACCACTTCCTTTTAGTGACAAAGTATCTGGAGTAACTCACTGCCGGTGTTACAAAAAGTAGTGACATCAATTTCTTGCCTTAAATGTTTTTTTTTTTCACATAAAGTTTTATGTTGCTTAAGTTATTACTTAAGTCTTACTCTCTTGTATGTCCATTTTTCTAGACAACTTTCTTCCCTGAAACTGTGCATTCTATTGCTGACACAGAAGCTGCTTTGAGAAGAGTCACTAAAGATGCTCATGCTGTAAAAAAATTCAAATCATAATCACCATACATTGCAGTGGGTGCCTACATTTTATCCAGCTGGTGGGGATCCTTTCCAGAAATTTAAAGCATCTGCAAACATCAAACTTTCATTTTTTTCCCCCCAGTCAGTAATCACACAAAGTTCTCTTCTTTTTCAACTTACTTCCTGGTGTTTGCCAAGTAACCACTGGACTCCAGTCGCTATAACGGCCAGAAAATTCACTATCTGGACTTAGCTTGCTTCTAACCCTGGCAACATACCTGCTGCCAGGCACAAGGTTACTGTGTCGGAGACAATAATGAGACTTATTTGAGACCAATACAGAGGAAGATTCCTAGAGAGTATAAGGAGAGAGATTGGTATGAAAATATGGGAAAAAAATAAACACATGTATGTGTTCTAGGAAAATAAACATTCTAAACTTATTTTTTATTTAATGCAATGAGTTCCTTTGCTTAAATATTGGGTATTATATAATTCAGAACAACTAATTTATCTGATGGAAAATTATGGAAAACTGTAATAATATTGGGTAGAAAGATTTATTTCTCCTCTTAACTATTTTTATGGGTGTGCTGCCCAGATTCATGTTTGCAAATGAATGGCTATAAACATTTAATAAATAAATGAACATTATTTCCTATTCTCATTATTTTTGAGAATGTGGACAAATTTGGGGGAGGGGGGGTATTTCAAAAATAAAATGCTTGTATTTAAGTATACTGGGGATTTTCTATATTTATTTTATGGTTGGCTTCTTTTAAAATATAAATTGTTATGCGCTGTAGTTCATCATGACATTATTGAATGCTGATAGCTCAGTTTTAGTGGTCTAGGGTCTACAGAACTTGATTCAGGAGCCAAATACTACCTACAAGCATCAGATTGTGGCTTGTCTATATTCAAAATAAACTTTCATAAATATAGTAAGCTTCAGTATCTGATTAATCTACTCACGGAGTGAAAGTTCATTTGAGAATGTTTTAGAGTTCATGCCTGCTCATAGCCTTATCAGCTACATTATTTATTTGGCAAACTTTTAAAAGATCAATGTTCAAAGAAGTTAGGGTTTCTGGGCTATCAGGAAGGGAAGGGAAGGGAAGGGAAGGAGGGAGGGAGGGAGGCTCAAGGTATCATAAGATTAGGATTTGTTGGTTTATTTTTGAGATACAGTTGGATAATCCATTCTCTAAACTCCATTCAAAACTTAATTTATTTTTGATGTGGAAGACATCCACTGCTTACTTCTAGTTTCCTAATATATTGTCAACATAAACAAAACCACTGTAACTATGTGATTATAAGGATTACTATAGATACCTCCCAAATTTCCCAAGTCCTTTTATAGCTTATTTCAAAATCCAGGGGAAGGCTTTCCAACAAGTGATTTCTGTTTGTTTCTCCACCTGCTTTCCACTCTAGTAGGAAATCACATTCTTCGGTGGCAGTGACATTTAATTTCTCAGGTGGCGGAAGCTGAACTAAAGAAAAAATGAGGGAAAGCCATAGGTTAATTCTTGCCCATATGAAAGTCACGTATTTACTAATACTGTCCAGAAATATAGAAGGCCAATATTATTGCCCTTAAATGGTTATATGAAAAAACAAATGTTAGTAGGAAAAACTTCTTCTCTGTAAACATAGGATGCTGTCATCAAATATCAGTTTTCTGTACATTTACAACAGTATATCAAGAATTTTATCTAACCTGATCCCACCCCCCGCCCCCCAGGTGTGTTTGATTTCAGTACTAATTACAATATGACCAATAGTCATGCTTGGTGATATTTATAGGAGAGTCAATTAAATATATCTAGAAGGCATTACTTAGGGAAGGCTGCCCGACAGATTTAATGTGGTTAAAAAATATCACTGTCATAGCCAGAAAAATGAGATAAGCAGCTAGATGGAACAGTCAAAATCTTTGATTGTCAGATCATTGGTAACTTTTCTGCATGTTCCATATATATGGAGAAAGAAAAACGGTATTCTGAGTCTAACAATGCAAGCTCAGAATGCCATCTGATTCCGTGGATCAAGTGATGAAAAGAATGGGGTCAGTCTCCAATGTGATTGTAAGAAGGCATCTAGTTAAATAAAGAGGATAGTAAGATTCTCACATATACTGCCAGGCCCTAGCAACCAGATCTGCATGTGAAAGGTTCAAGCTGATCTACCTATAGCAGTGGTCTCCAACCTTGGCAACTTTAAGACCTGTGGACTTCAACTCCCAGAGTTCCTCAGCCAGC